TATGGTTGACCTTACTCAATAGTGCCTATTATAAATTGTCTATCGCTGATAGACAGTAGAAAAAGTTCTACTGCTGATAGACAAAATCAAATTTTGGTATTATGAATTGCAAACCGATAGAAGTTTTTCTATCAGCGGTAGACAAATTTGTCTACTGCATTTGAGCAGTAGAAGTTTGTCTATCGTATAAAATAAATGCTGTTAAAACGCTTTATACAGTCAATTTAACATATAAATTTAATATAACTTAAATATTACTAATTTAATAGTTAATAATAATTCATTTAGATTTAATATAATATAATATATATTTAATATATTTGATTGCAAGTGTAGTGTTATATGAATATTGAGAATAATGATTGTTGCATTTTTGTTTTGTTTTGTTATATATTTATATGTATTAAAATTCAAATATTTTCAACATACGCTAGCATTTTTCAAATTTCTTAGATATATTTTTCAACTAATAATGTATTTACATAAAATTAAGAAATAATAAAATTAATAAATTATTGTTGTAGGGAAAAATTGAGGAGCAATGAAAAGCAGATAGCAAAACTTGTTGGAAATATGGAAAAAAGAAAGGCATTTGCAACAAGACACATTCCAAACCAATGTGGGACAAAATTACAATTGAGCTTAATAGTCTACGCGCCTAGAAAATATTGAAAACATTTTAGTGAAGGGAGGCAAGAGTATTGTGATCAAATACTTACTGTAATATAAAAAAAAAATTAAAATTGGCTATGGAAAACACCGACAAAAGATATAAATATCGGTGTTTTAAGCATCAACTGTTTAAAAAAATATGAATATTACTAATTTAATTTAATGTAATATATATATAATGTAAATATAACTACATATTATAAAAATATTAAAATTAATATATATATAAACATATTTATTTTTAGAATATTAAAGTTTAAGTTTAATATATTACTTTAGTTTATTAATGTAATGTAATATTAAATAATAATTTCGTATTAAGAAAATATATTTTTATTTATTTTAAAAAGAATTTGAATTCATTTTAATGTTTCTTAGTGAACACAATACAAACAAAATAAGTTCAATTAAAGCTGGGAGCTCTAAAACAAATGTCTAAAATGCAAATGTTTGTCTATCAAGTTTCATAATACCAAATTTGCCTACCAATCGACTCGGTAGACAAATGTCTATTGTCTATCAGTAGACATTTCATAATAGCCACCAATGTTAAGGCCGCCTTTGATGACTATTACAGTCATATTCTTCAAAACACTTGTGTTCCAATTTAAAAGAGCTAACCGCTGCATTTTATAATTTATGGCATGAGTCAGAAAACGATACTTCTGACATAAATTATTTGCCGCTAAAAATTCGGTTAAGAGCTCATGTGGTGTCAAATATATTGAGACCACACAAATCGGAACACATGTGAATATGAGACACATGACAAACAAATGCACAGTAAGTACTTGCTATACATTTCTTGTCTTAGGTAATGTGTCGATTATAAATAGGAAGTAAATAAAAATAAGAATAATTAAGTATATAAGATTAACCAATTAGAGTTAAGAAGTACATTGTTAGATTTAAGTAACTATTGTTAGAATAAGATAGATATAGCATTCAAAATAAATAAAGAAGCTATTGTAAAATTAAGGATAAGTTTAAGAGTTCAGTTGTTAAATGACAGTCTGAAACTATACAAGATCTATTTGAGATCACAATAGTGTAAAAGTAAAAATTAATAAATTAAAATTTAAATAAAGTAATATTTAACAAATATATCAATGTGTTTTTAATGAATAATACAAGAACAATAGTAAATACTATCACAATAAGTCAAAAATTTGCCTCTATTTTAAGTAATTCCCATTAAAACTTGGGTTTGTTACCTTTGGCAAAGGCAATGAGGAACGCATATTTGTTTCTGCTACTGCTGCTTGTTTGTTTTGTAGTTGATCCAGTTTTATGGACAGCTCTATCTAACATTGTTGTACCAAATCTTCAATTTGGTAATATTCATCTTGGTTAAATCCTGACAATAGTGGACTTTCCAAGTTTTCCTACAGTTCATCATGCAAACATCCCAGTTGGTTCCATTGTTGCTTGATCGTGTTTGATTTAATTTCGTAATATTGAATTGGCTGTATGTCTTCGCTCTCTGACAAACTCTCTACTACTCTTTTAAGAGCTGCCATTCGAGCAGATATTTTCCTTATCAAACCATTTGTTGTAGCCACTAGTTGCGACTGTGATACCATTTGGTTACTAGCACCTCCACCAAAGTTGTCTGCTGATTTGATTCGAAGGCCTTCTATCTTGAATATTTCCATATAATCATTTGTTACTTCTTTTATTTTATCATAGTAACAAGATGTAAAATACTCATCATCTGTTGGTTGATCGATGAGAATTCTAAGCGTTGAGTCATTTTGTTCAAATCGTGTCCAGGCAACATTAAGCCGACGTAACCTTTCACTATAGTATGCGGATGTTTGTTTGTGTTCTGCCGAATCTTTTTTGAAATTCCTAACGAGTCGCTGAATTTCTTCGCACGTCTCCTTTTGGGCATCTTGAAATTCATTAAGAGTTGCCATCGATGATCTGGAGTTTTTGCCAAAGGTGCTACGAATGCTGAATGCTGAAACTTCACTGCTAAATGTTGATTGTTGCCTTCGTTGAACTTGAGTCAAAATTTTTGTACTTCAAAATGTACTTCAAATGACGCTGATTGTTGACTGATATGTTGACTGTTGACCGCTGCTGCGTCAGACCAGTCCAGTGCTGCTGTCCGTTTCACGGGGTCACCAAAATGTACGATCAAATCAAGATGTGTGATCAACGTTGGAATCAACTATTTGCAGGCACTGAACACTTGAATCCAGTATTTATGTTCATTCTATTTAAACAAAAACCACTTAGTACTTGAACCCAGAGATTTCGACGATTGTCCTAATTATCCTAGTCACTGAACACTTAAATCCAGTGAATAGGCGCTTATGTGATGTAAATTCAGCACTTGAACTAAATTTACAAAGCTAAAGAAATGAACCAATAACGAATGTGGCTTCGCATCAATTGAATTGTCAAAAATTCAATTGTGCCTTTTATTTAAAATTAATAATCAATTTACAACAAATAAATTAACTAAAATAACCTTGACCATGCATGCCAAACAATGAACTTGTTACAAACTGCAAGAGTGCATTTTCTTGCAGACGAAATTTGACGCTTTTGTTTTCATGAGCAAACAAAGCGTATGACGTGTTTTTTGGGCATTGCATTGACAAAATTATTTATTACAACAAAATATATTTGAAATGAAATTATTACAACAAATTATTCATACAAAATAATACAAATAAATTATTTATACATAATAATACAATATAATATTTAACAGGTATATATTTATAACAATTATTTAACTAAAATTATTTTATTAACATTTATTTATTTAAATATTTTTATTAAAATCTCACAACACAACTGTAACACTTCAATTGCGCTTCAAGAGTAGATAAACAAATCGACATACGTAAATATTATATTACAGAAAAAACAAAGAGAGCAAATTAGTAATTTTGAAAGAACAATCGCTTAACCATCGTCACGGCGAGTCATAAGCGACGCATTTTGACGATTGGCGATAAATGAATCGTCTAAATGCTACTTGGGATTGTATATATATAACATTTTACAACAATAATATTTTGACAAGAACTTGGCTTGAACGGTGCACACACATGAAAAACATGGGTGGAACCCGATCAAAAGCGGAGATCAAAGAAGATTTTATATAGAACGGAAATTTAAATGAGCACAACACAAAATAACAAACCACTCTCAGAAATTACACTAATACCATCTCAAAACGTACGATTATTTCCAACTTGAGCAAGTTCCGGTCCTTATTCGCTCCGAATGCGGACCTTAACTTGCTCCGAATACGAACCTTAAGGTGGAGTTAGACGGTAGTTAACGTAAGAAGTTAACTCAAAGCGAAATGCACAAACAACCAAACCTGTGTATTTGATAGGAACGAAATAAACATATGTGGCGAACTTATAGAAAAATCAAATTCAATTAGGTTTTGACGTTAAGCGATTTTAAAAACTGTGCTCAGTTGCTCGCAAAACCTTGATGAGGGTGGATGCGTTGCAATTATGTGCGGAATATGTTTACTATAACGAGAGTAGACGAAAAAATATTGTGATTATGAATGTGATTATTAATAAATTTTTTTTTATATTATATTTTTTTATATAATTATTTTATTAATATTGCTGAATATTGATTGTATTTCTATTTAGCAAAAATAATCAGCAGAAAATATTTTAATAAATTTATTTTATTAACATTTTTACAATAGGTAATTGTATTTTATAATAGTTAATATTATTTTTTTTATAATATCAATAATTAATATCTTATATATTGATCAATAATCAGTAGAAAGAATTTAATTTATGGTATAATAAATATTGAAGAGAAATACTTATTTAATAATAATAAATAATATTAAAACATTAGTTATATATAAAAATATTTCACTAAAAATGTTTTTATTTGTTTTACTTTGAAAGTACATTCGTACAAAAAATATATATAGAAACATAGAAATTCACTACACTTGAGGACAAGCAACTACCGGTTGGAGCTTTTAAAGTTTAAAGTTGATTCTTTTGTTAATTCTTTTTTTACTTATTGTTCGTGAAATCTTGTTGAGAGTGGGTGATATTTTTCTTTTATTTACATATAAATATTTAAATTAAAAAAATTTTAAAATTTATCAATTTCAACAATATGGACGATGAAAAATTAATTAATCTGGTAGAAAAAAATACTATTTTATATGACGAAAGTCACTATGACTTTAAAAATAATGATAAGAAAAATGAAATTTGGCGGCAAATAGCTGAAGAATTGGAAGTGAGCGGTAATTTTCATGCTACATTTATACATTTCAATAATTTTAAAACATTTATTTTTTTAAAACAGAGAATGCAGTAAAAAATCGGTGGAGAAGCATGAGAGAGCGCTTCGGGAAAGAATCACGAGAAGGAGCATCTGGAAGTAGTGCTAGCAAATCGACGGAATGGCACTTTTACAGGCAGTTGATGTTTTTGAAGAAACATATACTTCCACGTCAGTAAGTATTTTTTGTTTAAAAAAAAAAAAATATTTTAAAATACAAGTATTTTAATGGGTATAGGTTCAGTTTAATTTTAAATAACATTAATTTTTCTTTCGTTTCAAATAATTTTTTCAATAAATGCTTTTCTTTACAGAATGCAACAAACTACCAACTGCTTAGTGCTGACTTCATCTCACGAAGCTTCATCTTCACCTTCACCTGTAAGCGTTCCGCAAACTTCTCACAATTCTCAACAATCAACTACCAAAAAAAGAAAAATTGTGGATCGCGATGAACTGGGCGCAGCCGTGTTGAATGCAACGGCAACATTTGATGATTTCATCAAGACAAAATTTAAGGTCCCGCAACACAATGAAGTAGTTGAAAGCTTCGGTGAAATGGCGAAGGCCATTTTATCAACATTTGACAACAAGAAGCAAGCCAGAGTAATAAAACAATGCTCTGACATACTCTTGGCAGCTCAAATGGAGGACTAACGAATTATTTATTACTTATGTAAATTATAAGCGTTTTTATAATTGGGTTTTATGATCTTTATTTCAATTTCTTTAACACAATGTAAATTATAAACGTTTTTATAATTGAGTTTTGATTTCATTTAATTTATACAATTGAATTTATACAATTTCGGTTATTGATTGTTTAATCACTTTTTTATGTGTACCCGTGTGTTGACACGTTCGCGATCGAAAAACAAGAGACAGAATCAAACCAACGGAGTTTACTTGCAGCCAAAAAATATAACAATAAAATTTGCTCATCTCGAGCGCAAAAAACAAAAGGCAATAAAACAAGACTTAGAACCGTTGGTTTGATTACATCTTATACAGGGTTAGTTAGATAAATTAATTAACCATATATTAACCATATAAAATATTATATATATATATGAATTATATAATATATTAATTATAATAATTTAATTATACAATATGATTTACAATAGATTAAAATATAATAAATTATAATATATAAATCATATAACACATCAATTAATAATTCTACAGAATCCTACAATATTAACAATTTGACTTTAACCGCTCTAACATCCCGCCCCCCTTGAAAGGATTTTCAATTGGTAATAGTGCGAGTTTGTGGATTGGACGGCGTATTACTCCTTTTGGGGTTTGCACATCAACAACACGAACCAAATTATCTGGACCCCTGATGCAATGCACGATTCGGCCCATCAACCAGCGTAGTGGAGGCATATTGTCTTCATGGATTAGAACCAGAGCCCCCTCGGTGATGTTAGATTGTTCTTCTGTCCATTTGGTGCGTATCTGCAGCTCATTCAGATAGTCTCTAGACCATCTGCGCTAGAAGTGATGTTTGACTGCGGTTATACGAGACCATTTATCAATTAATGAAGCAGCTTCATACTGAGAACTTGGTTCAGATCCTCACCGGTCCACCGATAAGAAAATGTGCCGGCGTTAGCGCTTCGTAATCGCTCGGGTCACAAGAATGAGGTGTGATTGGTCGCGAATTTAAGATGGCTTCGATTTCAATCAGTGCTGTTCCAAGCTCCTCAAAGGTGAATCGAGTATTTGATAGTGTTCGATACAGATGGCCTTTCGCACCTTTTACAGCCGCTTCCCATAGACCTCCAAAGTGAGGTGCTCGGGGCGGTATAAAATTGAAATTTATGAATTGGTTGCTGCAAAAGGTGTGCAGCATCACTTGATTAGACTTCTCGAAAAACATCCTTTTTAACTCTGCTAGTTTGTTGTTAGCCCCAACGAAGTTTGTGGCGTTATCGCAATAGATGTCTGATGGTAACCCTCGTCTACCGATTAACCTTTTCAGTGCTGCAATAAATGCCTCCGTAGATAAGTCTGACACGGCTTCTAGATGAGCTGTCTTTGTAGACAAACAAACGAACACGGCTATATAGGTCTTATATGGAACCCGTCCCCGAATTCGGAGATACGTTAATATCGGACCGCAAAAATCTACCGCAGTACGCGCGAAAGGACGACTTGGAGTGAGGCGTTCGATTGGGAGATTACCCATCATTTGATTAAGTAGTTTGGGTTTATAACGCACGCAGTGAATACACGAGTGCACGACTCGGCGTGCAATTTCTCGAATATTAATTATCCAGAAGTTTAGTCGAGTAAGGGCAATTAGTGCTTTTGCGCCTGCATGATAGTTGCACAAGTGTATATGCCGAACATAAAGTTCCACAAAATAACAGCCCTTCGGCAACAAAATAGGGTGACGTTGGCCTACTGAGATGTCACTCAGCTCGAGGCGACCTCCCACCTTTAGTAATTGATAACCGAATACATTGTCCAGGAAGGGATTTAGATGCTTTAATGTACCTTCGGCTGGGTTCCCTCGTTGTAGGCGTTGTATATCAATTTCGAAGAATTGCTGTTGGATGACCCAAATAATACAGTGCAATGCCTTTTGTAGCTGAATAGGTTGAAGGGTACATTCTCCGTTCGTCAATTTATTCTTGGTTACATGATAGAATCGCTGTACCTGCGCTATTACTCGTAGCATCTTAGTGTATGAACTATATCTTGACAATACCTGTAATACGTAGTTGTCTTCATTTGTGTTAATGAATACAACCTTTCGCGTCTCTTTATTGACTTCTTCCATATCCAGGTTGTGACATTTCAAATGCGGCCAGTATTTATCAGCGAGTAACAAAAATTCCGGCCCCGTAAACCAACAAGACTCTGATAATTGGCGGATGTTACAGCCGCGCGACACAACATCTGCCGGGTTGGATTGGGTAGGAACGTGTCTCCATTGCCCATTTGCGGTAATATCTTGAATTTCCGCTACTCGATTGCCGACGAATGCAGACAGGGTTGATGAGTGCTGCTTCAACCAATGTAATACAATCTGTGAATCAGTCCAAAACAACGTTTCACCCTTAAATTGCGCAAATATTGGTTGGACCTTCTGATACAGTTTGGCAAGAAGTAAGGCACCACAGAGTTCTAGTTTAGGTAGCGACTTCCGCTTTATAGGTGCCACACGGGATTTTGCAGTGAATAGCCTGACCGTCACCTTACCTGATGTGTTTTGTGATCGGAGAAATATACAGCAACCATATGCGCGTATTGAAGCGTCACAGAAACCGTGTACATCAACCTGTTGATAGTTTATGGATAGGCAGTATCTCGGCACCTTAACCGATGAAAGCGTTGTAAGATCTTGAATAAATGTTTTCCAAGCTGAGTGAAGATTTTGAGGGACTGACTCGTCCCAGTCCACACGCAAAAGCCACAATTCTTGCATCATAATTTTGGCTACGAGTATGATCGGTGCTAGTAATCCAAGCGGGTCGAATAATGAAGACGCAAGAGATAAGATGGTGCGTTTTGTTACAATATGACCTGGTTGTGCATTGAACGAAAATAGGAAAACATCTTGCATTTGGTGCCACTTGATGCCTAGAGCGCTGGTGACTGTATCTGTATCAAGATTCAAACTCTTTGTTGTAGTATCGCTGATGAAGTCATGATGGTTTGAATGCCATTTGTCAAGATCGAAGCAACCCTTCTGTAGAATGGCCGTTAACTGATGTCTGATATTGGTGAGTTGATCAATGGAATCTGCTCCACCTAAGAAGTCGTCGACAAAGAACGCTGATTTAATGAGTGCAGCGCCTATTGGGTATTGTGTTTCAAATTTGTCCGCCAAATACTGCAAACTCCTGGTTGCTAGGAAAGGTGCTGATGCAGTACCATAAGTGACTGTATTCAACTCGTAAGTACTAACAGGATCGGACTCCGTATCTCGCCAAAAAATATATTGGAATTTTCGATCTGGTTCATCTATCAGTATCTGTCGGTACATCTTAACAATGTCAGCCGTCAAGGCATATCGGTGCAAACGAAATTGAAGTAGCAACAAATATAACTCCGGCTGAATTGTCGGGCCGACCAGTAGAATATCATTTAATGAACGTTGCGAAGTTGTTGGACATGACGCATCAAAAACCACCCTCAGCTTGGTCGAAGTGCTCGACGGTTTTAAAACACAATGATGAGGGATATAATAATGTGGTTCGTTGGTTTTCGGAGTCTCAACACGCGTCATGTGTCCGAGCTCTCGATATTGTTTCATGAATTCTTGATAGTCTTGCTTCAGTGCACGATTAGATGACAATCGCCGTTCTACAGAACAAAAACGGCGTAAGGCGATATTGTGTGTCAAACCAAGACAATCTGGCGAATCTTTGAATGGTAACCGAACGACAATTCTTCCCATCGCATTTTGGTGGACCGTTTCACGATATAATGACTCACACGCAACATGTGCTGGTGACCATGACTTTGAAGCCGGTTGCACTTCCTCTATCTTCCACATCATTTCTAATTGATCGGAGACTGTATCTTCAACTGATAATAGGCATTTTGCTGCTGGTGATGCAAATGGCTGACCCTTGTACTTGCCAGATACAATCCATCCTAATAGTGTTTTTTGAAGTACTGGAAGATTTTCACCTAGTTTGATTTGACCGACAGACAAAATATCAAAGAAACTTTCAGCTCCAAGCAAAAGATCAACGCGCTTGGATTTAAAGAATTGCTCATCGGCGAGAGGTGTATTTGGTGGAACCTTCCACGACGATATATCGATTTCAGAACTTGGTTGATATGCGATGTGATTCGTAATACCAAAGTTTAAAGCAAGTTCAAAATTTGAATGACGAGATTTGATTGATGTGAGCGTCTGATACTTTATGTTGGTCAACGAACTACCAATACTGGAAACATGCAACCGATGTTTATGTTTTGCTAAACTAAGCTTCTTTGAAAACTCCTCCGTTATGAAGTTGACCTGAGAGCATGAATCAAGTAAGGCTCTACCCACTTGATAACTTCCCGATGAATCCTTCACTAAAACCAATGCAGTGGCTAGAATTATTTGCTCGGCCGATGACATATTAAGATGGGAATGGCTGGCAACGTTGTCGTTGGGCATAGCAGCGTGTTCTGTGCGTCGTGATGATCCCGCGCTCTTAATATTCGTTGGCAATTGCGAATGATGCAAGAGAGTGTGATGTGGCTTTGCGCAAACCTTACATTTAAACGTTGATGTGCAATTAACCACATGATGGCGTGGCGATAAGCAGTTTATGCAGAGTTTTAGGCTCTTTACCTTTTCAAACCTTTGAACCACCTCCAGTGCCTTAAAACGATGACAATTCTGTATTAGGTGTTCATTGCTAGAACAAAATGAGCAAGAATTGCTGGATGTAGATGCAACAAATGCGTATTGTTTTGAGCGTCTGTTACTCTTGGAGTTAAGATTATTAGGTTTACGTTGTGATGATGACTGATTGCCGTTTCCACTGTCGAGTGATTCGAGAAACTGGCAATGCCTATCCAATAATTTTGAGCAATCTTCCCAACTGGGTAATGTGTCGAAGTTACGCGATTCATTCCATTTCCTACGTGTAATTGCGTCCGTTTTTTGCATGATTAGCGAGATAAG